CACCAAAAGCTTTGGGGAATTCCTCCCACACCCCCAAATGGCTCTGACCTCTTGAGGCTTTTAACATAATATAATATGACTACAGCCTCCCCACAAATGAGAAGAATTCATGAATTAACAACACAGTTTCCAATAGGGGTATCTCAATTTTTATAGTGGAATTATACTTAATATCTGCCTTAGCTTCCACAAAATACACATAGTAAGTACAGTGTTGAAAATGAGAACTGGACTAAAGGGTCCTTTTCTTTGATTTCTAGTAAAATGTGGAACACTACGTGGTAAGATGTATCATCTATGAATAGGCTGTATTTGTGGGGATAGAAAAAATAATATCAAAAGACTTTCATTATGTTGTGTTATTTAATTATTTTAAGCTTTTTGAGTGAGTTCCTGAGTCAGGTTTTTAAAATACGGGGGTTTTCCTGTCTTGTCTTCTTTTGTGCATAGGACATCAAGTTATATTTGGCTTCTCATATTTCTCATTTCCTGAAATGCACTACTAGCGGTATAAACATACCAGAATAAATATTAGCTTTATGAGAACATGTTCCTCTGCTAGTTGAAAAATAGCATATAATAAAAAATACAAGGATGTAATATTGAAAATTATAGATCAATATGCCCTCTTATTGTGGGTGTATATCTAATCCTCATGCATGGAGTCTACTTTTTTCAGAAAAATGCACATTGTATAATACCACTTACCTCTGTGATTTATTTCTACCCCTCATATTTAATAATATATTTCAAATGACTCTTGCATTACTAGTGAAATGTTTCAGGCTTATTTTCTACTGCGATTAAAAAAAAAAAAACCCTCTCTGGCTCCTTGCCATTAATTCTAAGAATTACATGTGATCCAAAATTAATAAAATATTAGTAGGTTTCCTTCCTGCTGGAGTCACCCAGCATCCAATGAATGAGCTCCTTACAGATTATATTAGAAAATGTTTATTGGCAATTTTGAAAGAAAAGGGAGTCTTTGTGAGAAGCTTAAAAAAGTAATATTAATTGTAGTCTCGCACAGCTAATCAGGACTTATAAGTGTGCAGACTGTTATTCCAAAATCCAGACTCTACATTTGTAGAAACAATGAAAATTTGACATCTATTAACTGTAAACCTCATATTCACACCCCATAAAGAAGAAAAAGAGTAACTCACATAAATAGTGTATGAGTTCAAACATTTTTTTAAAACTAGAGGACTCAATGTAACTATATTCAGGCAATTCACTTCCATCTGGAAATAACCATCCATTTGTCAAAAGTGCCACTGACTTCTCATTGCAAGGACAGTCTTTTCTTCTGCAGCATGTCTCCAGGGTTTCTCTTTCTGAAGTTGGAAAATAATCATGCTTGTATATTCTCAGCTCAGCTCAGAAATAAGAAAGTTAGACTTATTGAAACAGCTCCTTCTAATTGTCTCATTTTCTACAGCTTTCTTTTTTTAAACAACAAATTTCAACAAATATATTAATTTTTATTGTCAAGTAACTTAAACCTACAGACAAGAGCAAAGCTTATGTATCCACTCCCATATTTAAAAATGTTTAAATGTTCTTCAGATACCTATTTCTCCTTTCCCAGAGGTATTATCACGATAATAAGGTTGTTATATATTATGCCATTCACCACATATATATTTATAATTAATCTATATATACGTATGTGCAGTTTTTTAAGTTTACATAGATGGGATCATACTGAATATAAACCTTTGAAACTTGTTTTTTCTCAATACCATTTTGTTTTAGAATTCTCTCTGTCAATATATGGAGATTTGCTTCATTCCTGGTGGTTAATTGTTACATAGTTTTCCACAAATGAAGTGTGTCCACTTTCTCATAATAGAACCAGTCTGTTGCTTTTTCTGGACAATCCCCTGCCTGCACCCACCATCTCTTCTTTTACAGTGGATATACGAGGTGACTGTGGGGTGCTGCTGTGTCTCATCTACCATAGAATAGGCACTTGGGAAATACCTGTTCTGTACATTCTGCTACAAAAACCTCTTACTCCCCTCTTCTCAGTGTTGTTTCTGTTTCATTTTGTTGTTTCTGTTGAATGTGCCTCTATCATTTTCTGTTGAGTTTTCCATGAGCGGTTTCTAATGTGGCTTTACTCATTGCATCTCAATCAACTATAATTGTATCTGAAGAGTAGGAAATGACAAGGGAAACAGAACAAAGACAAACCATAAGAGTAAAAGAAGGAAGAAAGGGTTACTTTCCCGCTTTAACTTCTAAAGGTTCACTTGGTGTCCAGGAGAGTTACTTTTTGAAGTTGCACATTCTCTTACACTTCATTATCTGGGAGGTCAGCTAGGTTTTGAGGCCTTTCTCTTTTGTTAGACAAATAAAAAATTTCTTTTTGTCTCTTTGTTTCAGACCCACATAAGAAAAATGTGCATGATTTTTTTTTAAAGTTTGGTACATTGTTAAAGCTTTCATGTCTCTCTCAAGTTAAATGTTGTTTAGTGTCTGGTACATTCACAAAATGAAAACTATCAAAAATTCTCAAATGAATACATATTTGTATTTTTGGTAGATTTTAGGCTTGTTTTATGGTGTATTTTACCTAGCATGTGCTCAATAAATCTTTTTTTGAATGATTGAGTGAATAAATCAAGTAACAAATATTCGTAGAGATTACAGTAATATTCGTAGAGGTGACATGGTCATTTGACTTGCAGATATGTTAAAATTTCTATTAATCACCTTTCATCTCTTAGAACATTTCAATACTTCAATGCTTAGACCTCCCGTAATTGAAAACTCAGGTCTATAAACAAATGGAATATTAGAGTTAACTCAGACCATCATTCCCAAAAGTATTAAAATTAGAGTCTGTGAGTCTGTGTTTAGGGTTCCCATCTTATTTAGGGCTCCAAAAAAATGTCCTGGCCGGGTGCAGTAGCTCACACCTGTAATCCTAGCACTTTGGGAGGCCAGGGCAGGTAGAAAACAAGATTAGGAGACTGAGACCATCCTGGCCAACATGGTGAAACCTCGACTCTACTGAAAACACAAAAATTAGCCGGGCGTAGTGGCGTGTGCCTATAGCCCCAGCTACTCAGGAGGCTGAGGCAGGAGAATCACTTGAACATGGGAGGCAGGGGTTGCAGTGAGCCAAGATCATGCCACTGCACTCCAGCCTGGTGACATAACGAGACTCTGTTTCAAAAAAAAAGTATCCTCTATGTTAAAAATTTAAGAGCTGTATATCTTAGAGTTTAGGCTATTCTCATATTCTGTTTTGCTATTCTAAGAGATTAAAGCCCTTTTCTTTTGGCCGGTTATATTTTTGTATATGACTATGGCCTGGGCCAGTGCCATCACTAAGAAAATGGAACTTTTAAAAATTCAAGAGTAAAAGCAACTATTTCTAGAACGGACACAGCCTTTCCTAGGTTCAATCATTACCCTTTTAAATTATTTATTCCCTTCCATATGCTGGAAATTATTAGACTGTAAATGATCTTACCACTTTCCCAATGTGATTTGCTTTATGAAAAGATTTAAGTAGGCTGGGCGCGGTGGCTCAAGCCTGTAATCCCAGCACTTTTGGAGGCCGAGGCGGGTGGATCACGAGGCCAACAGATCGAGACCATCCTGGTCAACATGGTGAAACCCCTTCTCTACTAAAAATACAAAAAATTAGCTGGGCACGGTGGCGCGTGCCTGTAATTCCAGCTACTCGGGAGGCTGAGGCAGGAGAATTGCCTGAACCCAGGAGGTGGAGGTTGCGGTGAGCCGAGATCGCGCCATTGCACTCCAGCCTGGGTAACAAGAGCGAAACTCCGTCTCAAAAAAAAAAATACAAAAAAAGAAAAGATTTAAGTATTGAGAACTTCCTTTGGTTTTCCTCAGCAGTGCTCTGGTCTTTTCTGAAAGTTGAGTTTATAGGGTTTCTCTCTACTTAATCTTTATTTTTGTTGTATTTGATAGAATTCTACTAAGCTACAATATTTATGCCAGTTTTCATTTTCAGCAGACTCATAATTGAGCCCAAATCCTCAGAAAAGAGACTTCCTGTCAGAAACATTGGCATACATCCCTATCGCTGCCCCGCTGGCCGTCCCCACACTGCTCAGGCTGTTGTGGACATGTGGAATCAGCAGGGAAATGCGTTCCAGTCTTAGCTCACATATGTTTTTAAGTAGAATTTGTTCTGTGGTGGTACTGAGAGCCCCAGTATTGAGATAATTAGTGCTATTTTCTTAATGGTCAATTTTTGATATTTATTAATAGCTATCATAATGATAGATCTGCTCATGGCCTTGGGTTCTTCCGTGGCACATTTGTTTATAAATGTGGTAGAATTCCAACAGCTTGTAAACTCTACTTCTGGTGGATTTTACTTCAGACAATCAACTCGCTGCTCTGCCACTCTGTCTGCCTTCAAGTTATTGCATGAAGACTCAGCCAGATCACCAGCAGACCTGCAGCTTCCTTGCTGCCCTCTCCCTTTCTCTGTGGGCAGGCCCATTCTCTCAGGAATACCAGCCAGGAGGGTCAAGCTACCGAGGAACATGAGAAAACGTGTCTCCTGAAATCCCTCTATATTTGTTTTCCTTTTCTTTGTATATCAGGGTCCATATTAATTTTTTAAGAAAGTAAAAATTAGGCTACCAATGGCTTAGCAGAAGGAAGATTGGTACTGGTTCTGGTACTGGATTCTAAATCTTTCAAGTACAGTTTGAGAAGGTGCTCATCAAACTTTGAAATACAATAAAGAAGAGTGGAAAAAGTAAGTGTAGTTCTTAATTCCAGTGAGAGGACCAGCAACTTCGTTTTGAATACATCAAAACCTGAATTTGAAATCTTCCATACAGAAACTGCAATGAAAAATGGAAGGGTAAGCAATGTATTATTCCCCAAAGTGTCTAGAAGACAAAAGTAGATCAACAGGTCTAAGCAGAAAACAAAGCTACTAAGTGTTGGGAACTTAGAAAAATCTTAAATTTCAAGTGTGCTCTTAACACTTGAGACAAAGACATAAACAATTAAGCCCAGAGAATCTCAAGGATGCTTGTATAAGGGACAAAATTAATATAAGAAAGCCTCCTTAATTAGGGTGAACCAGGGAGAGAGCACACCTGTTGGAAGCAGGTGACGTTTCAGTTCAAGGCCGGTTGTACACTCTCGAGTAAATCCAGTAATACAAGCTTGTTCCTGAAGGAAACCTCAACAACAATAAAAATCCTCGCTATCTTGCTTCACGAATCCCTCATTTTCCCCTAAGAGTTTTGCTCCAGGATGATACATACTGGAAGGAATCACAGAATTTGGCCTTTCACTGTCTTAAGCAACCTGTATTAACTTAGAAAAGCTAAGCCAGTGGTAAACTTAATTTGAATATAGCTCTCCTACTACACTTTTTTGACAAATTCATTACTATTTAAATTAAAAGGATGTTTCAAGATTACAGGTGTATTGGTGCTGTAAACCAGAACGATGATTTCCAAGTGACGATTTTCATTTACATATAGCATTTTATTTCCCCTTAAAAGTAAGGTTTCACTCAAGGGGAAGAATAATAAAACAGGAACGTGCAGGTCACCTGCCTTCCTGCTTCTGTCTCCACTCAGAGGAAGAGGTTACAGACTGCAGACATCCAGCTCCCCTAGCACAGGGGAGATAAGCGGAGGAGAAGATAAGTACCAGGAAGGGTGATTGCCAGCCAGCTTTCTCTTCCCGATTAACCCAGAATTTGGCATGCAGCCAGTGTTTCTTGAGCCTTTATTGATAGCCCAGAGATGACGGTGTATGCTGGAGGTAGGAGAGGGAGTTCCTTTTTAAATAGATGCAAGAGAACTATCGATTTTTATGAAAAGGACATTTTTCTAAATTCTTTCCTAAAATAGGGACAACACGTGAATAAATACTATAGGCAAATATTTTCAAGATAAAATTTGTGAGATCATTTCCATTCATTTAGAATTTTCCACACACACACACAAAAGACTGTTAGTTACTGAACAGTGCCATCGCTGTTAGAAATTCCATCCTCAATTTTAGCAGAGAATGTGCAATACCCCCCCTCAAAAAAAAAGATGAGCTAAGGGAATGGAATGTACTTTTCATTATTTAAAAGAATTTTTTGTTGCTTTAAAATTCTGGATAAAAATCCAATAGTCATAGTTTCTTAGAATTATCACAAGAATATATATTCAACAAGCCAAAGGACGGCGGTCTTCGTAGGATGAAACAATGTTCAACATTTTACAGCTCAGTTTGCTCAGCAGAAAGATTACTAAATTGAAAGATCATGTGATGAAATTCCACTTACATGGAAAATATCTATTTATAAAAAAGATAATACAAGCCCCACAGGAAATATAATATATAAAAAGCTATTTTCACTTCTGCCCTTCTTAGCAAAATAAGACATTACCCACTTAAGAAATTCTACTCTCTTTTTTTCCTGTCTGAGAATTCCTGCCATTTGAGGAAATATGCTGTTGCTTAATTTATTGGTTGGAAATGCTAAAATTGTATTTGTGAAATTAATATTGTAAAAAGAGATGGCAAGATGTAAATGGTATTAACCTTTCATTACACTGTACTTAGAACTTTTCTCTTCCCCTGAAATTTCCATACCCAGCTTTAGTCTGTGGAGGTCCTGGAAGGCATTCGTAGAACTTGGCTCATATATTAGGCTACGATTTAAATGTTTGCTGAACAAATAAACAAGAAAAATAAAGATAGCCTACAAAGGTGAATTTCCAAAAATCCCGTAACTTCAGTGGGCTAAATACCAGATGGAGAAGGGCGCTGCAGATATGATGCTCCACATTTTCCTTTTATGCTTCGTCTCCAAGGCCCTACTCTATTTATTGCTGTGGCATCTGGTAGGCTTTCTTTTCTGGGCTCCACATGCTCCGTGCCATGTGTTAGAATTTTCCTGGAACGAAAGTCAAGGAAATACCGTTTCTAGAAATATGCCTTATGGAGTTTTTTAAATATAATATTTCCTTTCTACTAGCTCATTCACTTAGGGAGCCTAATAAATGGTATTCACATGTAGAAAAAAATCACGGTGAGTCTGATTTTGTCTATGCAACAAACATAACAATTATTTTAACAAAGAGTGCCAAGATTGTTCTCTTTTTCAGGAAATTTTATTTTTGTGTGTTTATGGCTACAGACATTCTGTGCTTACTAAAAATAGTAGCTAAAACATTTATTCAGTGCTTATTTATACCAGGAACTGTATTTTATATATATTGGCAAGTATAATCCTTTAACAGTCCTGTATAGTAGATATTAGTTTTTATATTTTATAAATGAGGAGATCTAGGCTTAGACCATTTGTGAAGCATGGCTAGTAACTTACAAAGCTGGAATTGCTTTCTCTTTTTTTCTTTTCTTTTTTTTTTTTTTTTTGGTAAAAGACTCAGTTTTAAAGGATTTTTTCTTTAAACATTTTATTATGCAAATATTTAACTATGCCAAATAGTTTAAAGAAATGTACAGCAAATACTCACACCCACCACTGTGCATCATTCTATCCCTCTATCTATTCATGAATCTTACTTTTGGATACATTTCAAAGCAAGTTATAGATATTACAGCATATCTTCCTAAATACTTGGATGTGTGCATGACCAGAATTTAAATTTTATGATTCTGTTTTTTCCCTTGAGGTAAAATTTACATATAATAAAACACACAGCTTTTATGAGTGAATTTCCAGGAGTTCTGACAAATGTATCTACCTGTTGTACCCAAATCTATATTACTCCAGAAAGTTCCTGCAGCCTCCCCCCCACCCCCCATATCCCTTCCCCACCAAGAGCAAATTGCTTCTTCTTTTAGGGCTTTACATGAACGATACCACACTATATATACTCTTCCGTGTCACACTCCTTCCATGTAGCATAATGTTTCTGAGATCGATCTGTTCTTGAGTTTATCGGCAGTTCTCTATTTATCTCTGAGTTGTATTCCATTTTACCAGTTTGTTTATCCATTCTTCCACGTTTCAATTAGTATGAATGAGCTTCTATAAACATTCTTGTACAGACGTTATTGAAAGCATATTAGGTCAACATCTAAAAGTAGGATTCTAGTCATAGATAGGTGTACCTTTAGCTTTTGAAGAAATTGCAAGATCTTTTCCAAAGTTAATTGTTTATATTCCAACCAACAAGATATGAGAGCTTTAGTTCTGCATCCTCAGCCATATCTGGTGCTGTCTGACTTTTTAGGTTTAGCCATTTGGGTGGGTTTGTGGTGATGTTGCATTATGATATAATATGCCTTTTCCTTAATGACGAATATCTTGATATCATTTTCATATGCTTACTGGTCATTTCTATAATTTTCTCTGTAAAGTGTTCATTGAAATTATTTTCTAATTTTTAAAATGTGTTGTTTGTATTTTTATTAGGGAGGTATAGAAGTTCTTCGTATGTATGAGCCATATATGTAAATGTATAAACAAGTACTTTATTAGATATATTTTGTAAGTATTTCTTTCCAGTCTGTGCCTTGCTAATTTTTTCTCTTAGTGACGTCTTTTTTTTTTGAGATGGAGTTTCGCTCTTGTTACCCAGGCTGGAGTGCAATGGCGCGATCTCAGCTCACCGCAACCTCCGCCTCCTGGGTTCAGGCAATTCTCCTGCTTCAGCCTCCTGAGTAGCTGGGATTACAGGCACACATCACCGTGCCCAGCTAATTTTTTTGTATTTTTAGTAGAGATGGGGTTTCACCATGTTGACCAGGATGGTCTCGATCTCTTGACCTAGTGATCCACCCGCCTCGGCCTCCCAAAGTGCTGGGATTACAGGCTTGAGCCACCGCGCCCGGCCAGTGATGTCTTTTGATGAGCAGAAGTTTTAAATTTTGAGGTCTAATTTATCAGGGCTTTTTTTTTTTCTTTTGTGGTTATTATTATTTTCTGTATCCTGTCTAAAACAAGGTTATCTCTAAGTAATATATATATAAATATATTTGTATCCATATTACCACACATACTATATATATATGTCATATATAGTTTGTCTGCAAAGCTTTATAGCGTAGTTTTATCTTTTATGTTCAGATTTGTGTTCCATAGTGAATTAATTTTTATTTATCGTGTGAGGTTCATGTACAGTTTTTTTATTTTCTATGTGGGTATTTAATTCTTCTAGCACTATTTGAAGATGTTCCTTCCCCCCACTGGAATTTCTTAATGTTATTCTTAAAGATCAAATGACCACATAAATGTACATCTGTTTCTGAGCTCTCTGCTCTGTTCCATTGGTTTTTGTGGCTTTTTTTTTTTACCAGTACCAGATTACCCTGATTGCTGTAGCTTTATAATAAGTCTTGAAGTCAGATGGCATAAGCCTTCCTTCCTTTTTTTTTTTTTTTTTTTTTTACAAAATCGCTTTGTATATCCCAGTTCCTGTAAAATTTTAGATTTATTTTAGAATTATCTTGCTTGTCTCTAAGAAATTAGCTAAGTGGGATTATGATTTGGAATATATTTATTCTAGGGGTCAATTTGAGAATAATTGACTTCTCACTAATATCAAGCCTTCCAATCCATGAACATACACTATTTCTGTATTTATATTGGTCTTCTTTAAAATCTCTTAGCAATATTTTATATAAACATCTTAAATGGCTACTATTATATTTATTACTCAGAATTCCATTTTCAAATATTGTAGATACAATTTAAAATTTTGGTTTTCAAACTTCCCTGTTAATATGTGAAACTACAATTATAATATTACCCTGATAGCAAGACCAGACAAATACATAAGAAGAAAGGAAACTGTAGACCACCATTTTTTATGAATACAAGTAGAAAAATTCTCAGCAACATATTAGCAAATTGAATACAGGAACATATAAAAAAGACTATTCACCAGAACCAAATAGGATTTATCCCATTAATACAGGGTTACTTAAACATTTGAAAATTAATCACTGTAAACTCCATATTAATAGAATAAATGAAAAACATACCATCATCTCAATAAACTTAGAGATAATATTTTCATAATAAATGTGCTCAACAAACTAGAAATATAAGGAAAGCTTTTAAGCTGCTAAAGGACGTCTATGAAAAACTCATAACTAACAGTACAGTTATTGTTGAAAGACTGAAAATTTTCTCCTGAAGATTCGGAACAAGACAAGGATTTTTACTCTGCCCACTTCTAGTCAGTATACTGACTAGAAGCTACTAAATGAGTTCTGTGAGGTGGCAACATATAAAATCAATATACAAAGACCAGTTATATACACTAGCAGGGAGCAATTTAAAAATGAAATTAAGAAAACCATTTTATTTATAATAGCGTCAATAAAAAATACTTAGGAATAAACATAACAAAAGGACTATAAGACATGCACACTGATAACTGCAAAGCATCATTGAAAGAGATTAAAGATGACCTAAATAATGGAGAAACATACCATGATCATAGAAAGCTTCAGTTCGCAAAATGTCGGTACTCCCCAAATATATCTACAGATTCAATGCCATGTATCCCCAAATGTACCTAGAGATTCAGTCCATCCCTATCAAAATCTTATTCGGCTTTTGTCCTTTTTCCCCCACTTTTTGTGGAGAATGGGGTCTTGCTATATTGCTCAGGCAGATTAGGCCTTCGTAAGAGCTAGGATTACAGGTATGAGCGAGCCACTGTGCCTGGCTTGGCTGGCTTTTTGAAAGAAATGTATGATTCTGAACTTTATATGGAAATACAAAGACCCAAAATAGCCTAAACAGTCTTAAAAAAGAACAATGTTAGAGGACTCACAGTTCCAAATTTCAAAACTTCTTTTTTTTTCTTTTATTTTTTTCGTCTCAGTCTTAAAATTATTTCTTCAAAGTCATCGAAACTTTTTACAAAGCAAGAGTAACCAAGAGTCTTTGGTTAGACAGATTAATGGAATAGAATAAAGAATCCATGAATAAACGTATACATCTATGGCCAATTGATTTTCAAAACGGTTTCAGAGCAATTCAGTGGAAGAAAGAATAGTCTTTGAACAAATGGTTCTGGAACAACTGGATTCCCACATCTACTAATAATACAAGATAGCGAATTTGGATGCTTGTATCACACCGTGTACAAAAATTCACTCAAAATGATCAAAGATTTAAATGTAAAAGCTCAAACTATAATTTTTATAAGAAAATATATATCTTTATAACCTTGGATTAGGCAATAGTTTTTGGATGAAATACCAAAAGCATATACAACCAAAGAAAAATATAGATAAATTAGACTTTATCAAAATTTTAAACTTTTGTGCTTCAAAGGACACTATCAAAAAGTGAAAAGAGAATTCAAAGATGGAAGAAAATATTTGCAAATATTATATTTATTTAGTAAAGAGTATACAGGACATGTGAAGAACTTTTACAATTCAATTAAAAAGACAACCCAATTTAGAAATGGGGAAAAGATATGAGCAGATGTTTGTCCAAAGAAGATATTATAAATGGCCAATAAGTACACAAAACATTCCTCAACGTTATTAGCCCTTAGACATGTAAATCAAAGCTGCAATGTGGTACCACTTCGTACCCACTTATATTACTATTTTAACTGTCAAATTATTATAGTCTATCTTTTTAGACAGTAAATATAGTAATATAGTATATAGTAATGTAGTAATCGTCTTAATGACAGACAGTAACAAGTGGTCACAAGGATGTGGAAAATTTTGAACTTAACATGCATTTTGATGGTATTGTAAAGTGCTGTAACCACTTTGATAAAATACCTTGACGTTTTCTCAAGAAGTTTATCATAGAGTTATTTCATTCCCAGGTGTAGACCTAAGAGAACTGAAAACATACATTCATGCAAAATTGTACATGGGCGTTCATAGCAATATTATTCCTAGTAACCAAAAGAACAGACAACCCAAATAGCCATCAGCTAATGAATG